TTTCTACTCCTAGAAATATTCTGGTCCTTGTTCTTTTATTCATTGAGTTTGCTAGAGTTTTGACTATATTTTTTTTTACTAAAGAATGAAAATTTAAACATCAATGAGGAAATAATGGGTCATTCCTTAAATCATGTTGGGAAAATAACTTTCACATGAAAAAATGAATTGCTTCCTCAGACTGTTCACAAAAAACTTTAGATGAATTAAATGTTTAAGTTAAAAAAGAACCTTTAAAATAACCACAAGAAGTTATAAAATAAGTTTTTTATTACTATGGGCAATGGAAGACATAAAATATAAGTCACTAAAAGCACAAAACATGGAAGGAAAAAATACATTTGACTACATCAACATAGACACTATTGCAAATACAAGCGCACTATTGTACACAAGATTGAGAGAAAGGCAGCAGACAGGAAGAAGATATTTTTAACATGTAACAACGGATTAGTATCCAAAATGCATAAAGAACCTCAATACCTTAATAAGAAAAGGAGAAACATAATAAAAACATGAGCAAGGACTGTAACACTTTCACCAGCATGAGTTATACGTTTAAAATACTTGTACCCTAATAACCTATGAGTTACACCTCAAGGTGCTTGCCCCACACAGTCACACTGATGCACAAGGAGGGAACAAGGATGCTCGTCTCAGGTCTCTTTATACAAATAAAATAAATCCTATAAATATCTGTTGAGAAAAGACTAACAAAATGTGGTCTCTTCACAAAATGAAATAAGGAACTGCAAATACAGAGTAAAGAAATAGATCTCTCCATACAATCAATGTGGTCAGATGCTGAAAAGACACTCTTTACTACAATGAACTCACGGTAATGGTTATCCAGTGAAAGGGGAGATGATGGAAGTGACTGAGGTTGGAGGGCCAAGGGGATTTTGTTTTTATTTGTGTGTGTGCATGTTTTTTTAAAAAATATTTTATTGATTTTTTTACAGAGTGGAAGGGAGAGGGATAGAGAGTGAGAAACATCGATGAGAGAGAAACATCGATCAGCTGCCTCCTGCACATGTCCCACTGGGGATGTGCCCGCAACCAAGGTACATGCCCTTGACCGGAATCGAACCTGGGACCTTTCGGTCCGCAGGCTGATGCTCTATCCACTGAGCCAAACCGGTGCTGGCATGTTTTAAAGAGGGTGTGTAGGTATATAATTTTGCCAGTGAAAATAAATATGCATAGGGAAAAACAGAATGCATGGAGGCATGGAACAGACTGACATACCTCAATGTGGGGGCTGGGGGACAAGGACAGAGAAACTAAAGAACTTGTATACTTATATGGATAGCCCATTGACATGGACAATAGGGTGGTGAAGACCTGGAGGGGTGGGTAGGGGCTGGGTGACGGAGGCTAAAGGGGGAGAAATGGGAGATATCAGTAATACTTCAACTATATAAGTGAATGAATGAATAAATAAATAAATACGCACACACACAATAACAAATTAAAATTAGATTGAATTTGCAGACTGCAAATTTGAGCTCTACACTGTCTTAGGAAATAGGCATTCATTATTTCTATGTTTGAGATGAGAAAATGGAAGCCTAGGGTGCCTCGTGACATGGCTAGGAGGCAAGTAAGAGGCAATGGTTCAGGGAAGATTCCAGGCTTTTTCTATCCCCCATCTGCCACAGGGCCCATTCCCCTGAAATTGAGTCATTGTCACCAGCTGTCTAGTTGGGTTTCATCTGTACTCTCACCTGACTTTAGTGACAGTTGGGTACCTGGGTAGGGCTGTGCTTACAGGTGGGAACCAAGTTGAGCAGCCAATATAGAGACTAAACTTCCAACACCCTTTTTGCATCCAACCAGTTCCAGTAGACAAAATGGTTGGTGACAAACTGGTTGATAAAAGAAACGTGCTTGGTTTCTTTTCGTACCTTATTTTTCCAGATTTCAAAATGTCATAAAATAAGTGGTAATAAATAATATCAGTGAGAGTTGGCACAACATAATAGTGGTATTGTTTTTTTAAAATACATTTTTATTGATTTCAGAGAGGAAGGGAAAGGGAGAGAGAGAGGAACATCAATGATGAGAGAATCATCGATCAGTTGCCTCCTGCACATCCCTTACTGGGGATCGAGCCCACAACCTGGGCATGTGCCCTGACTGGGAATCGAACCATGACCTCCTGGTTCATAGGTTGATGTTCAACCCCTGAGCACATTGGCCAGCAAAAGTGGTATTATTTTTAATAAGCAATTACAATTGCTTTAAGGAGAAATCAGGGAAAGAAGATAAAAAATGAAATTTATATTTCTAGTTGGCAAAAGCAGCCGGGGAAGAGAAACTGGCTAGTTGGTTACCGTGATCAACTCTTACGTTTTTTTTTTAAAATATATTTTATTGATTTTTTACAGAGAGGAAGGGAGACAGATAGAGTTAGAAACACCGATGAGAGAGAAACACTGACCAGCTGCCTCCCGCACACCCCCCGCTGGGGATGTGCCCGCAACCAAGGCACATGCCCTCGACCGGAACCGAACCAGGGACCCTTCAGTCCGCAGGCCAACGCTCTATCCACTGAGCCAAACCGGTCAGGGCTAACTCTTACGTTATGTAGTTCTTATGATCACTCTCAGTAGGACATGTATGTAAGCTTTTATCAGTACAGAAATACTTCTAGAAAGGTTTGACATTTATTTAAGTGTATGTTATTGTGGGGAAAATTGTATATATCAAAGAACTTTCAACATGTTATAATAATTTTGACTACTAGGAAGTTCTCTATAATTGTGTGCACTTTCAGGCAAAATTTTATATATCAAATAACTTTAAAAATATTATAATGCATTTAAAGTAATTTTGACTACTAAAAAGTTCACTATAAATGTACCTTGTTTGAACAAAGACCTTTGAACTGACATAAAAAGGGCAGAATTAAGTGAATTTAGAGTCTGGTAATGTTTCAGTGGACTATATACCTACATATAATATATTTTTCCTTGTGAATAAGGGATATATTTTACTCAAGGGTTTTTCATAGTCTTTTTTTTTTTTTTTTTAAATATTTTTTTTTTATTGATTTTTTACAGAGAGGAAGGGAGAGAGATAGAGAGCTAGAAACATCGATGAGAGAGAAACATCGATCAGCTGCCTCCTGCACATCTCCTACTGGGGATGTGCCCGCAACCAAGGTACATGCCCTCGACCGGAATCGAACCTGGGACCCTTCAGTCCGCAGGCTGACGCTCTATCCACTGAGCCAAACCGGTTTCGGCTTTCATAGTCTATTGAAGTTTTTAGACCCAAGTTTTTATTTTAAGAGAAAATAAATATTGGTATGCGAATTTATTATAAGTGTCCTAATGAAAGATTTTTCATCTATAATACTTGGTAGAGACAAGTGGCCAGAAAATAAGTTTGAAAGGAGAATAATTCACCAGCTAGGAGTTCAGTTAAATATATTTTTTAATTTAAATGACCACTTACAATATATGGAAAAAGTGATATATATAATCTGTAGCATGAGCCAAGACTTGTCAACGAATAATACATGGTTCCTTATAAAATTAAAGGAAGTATCTATATATGTAAAAGTCTAAGTGTCCATCCATCTGACCAGTAGCTATGATGCACACTGACCACCAGGGGGTAGGCACTCAATGCAGGAGCTGCCATGATGCACACTGGCCATTTAAAAATAAATGGCACCACGGACCTGGCGCTGACAAACCAACACTCAAGTGGGACACAGGCCCCGCCACCAACCCAGAGCAACACCCCACCAAATCACAGCCAATGCTGTTAAGACCCCATGGTGCAAAATGTGCCCCACAGCCCAGTCCAGCAACGGTAGCTGTGGGTGCCAGGTAATGACGTCACTTAGCAACTCCCGGCTTCCTCTCCCTAGTGACTAGCATCCTTGAAGTGTCTTCAGCCCAGGAACCCAACTTGCTTGATTGCTAGGTGCAAACATTTTATAGTTTAACCAAATGTTTGTGAAGCATTTTTTCGTGCCTCATCTCATTTGATCCTCACAGAAGTCCTGGAGTAGGTAGATAGGAGACTCGGTAGAATCCTATTTTCTTTTCATTAGCAAAACGCAAACAGCGATATTAAAATATTTCTTCTAATTAATTTCCTTTCAATGTGCACAAATCCGTGCACCCAGCCACTAGTATTTAATAAAAAATATAACATTTATTTTAGAGTAGAGATAAGTACTGTGTTAGTATCCTGCACCAAGTGATTAAAAAACATGCCATCTCGGGAATAAAGTACTGAAAAGAGAAAAATTGTAAGACACAAGTTGGAATGGTAATTTGTTAAAAAATATCAGAAACATTCCTTTCTTTTTCCTAATTATTCACAAACAGGACATTTTGAGGTACATAGTACTTATGGATTATCTGAGGTACCTAGTACATGTGGATTAGCTGCATTTAAGATGTAATAATTAATGAATTTAACTTTTTTGAGTGGCTGCTCTGTTCCTGGAGTGGAAAAACAGATGAACAAGATAGACTTCCCCAGTCCCACAAGAAACTCGAATCTACCAGGGAAAATTTTTATAAATAAAAATGGTCATAATACAATGTGATAAACATAAGTCCCATGGCTTCCCCACTTAAAAAGCAAAACAAACAAGTAAAAGCTAACTTTGAAGCATCCATTTTACTTAAAACCACAATTCCTTAGTTTGGTATTCCAGACCCTTCTCATGCATCTACCTCTTCAGAGTTTCTCTCCCTTCACCCTCCTTTTTCTCTCCTGGCTCTTACCCCTCAACACACAAACCCTTCTTTAGCCACAGTAACCCTCTCATCATTTCCTGAACTTAACTCTTTCAGATGTGTATGACTTTGCACATGCCTATTCTCTCCGCCCGACTCCCATGTTCAAGTCCAGTGAATGCCTACAGTTTTTTTTTTTCAATACTCAAGTCAAACACTACCTCCCCCGTAGCCTTCCCTGATCTTCCATCGTGGTCACAGCACTGATCTCCTGGAATCACACTTTTTTTAAAGCCTACAGCACCCGGTATTCCCAGGCGGTCTCCCATCCAAGTACTAACCAGGCCTGACCCTGCTTAGCTTCCGAGATCAGACGAGATCGGGCGCGTTCAGGGTGGTATGGCCGTAGACTAGAATCACATTTTTGGTTTGTTTGCTTGGCGGCTGCCTCCACTAGGCTGTGCATTCAGTGGGGCAGAAATCATATTCATTTGCTATCACTGTCTAAAACAGTGTTTGGCATGATGTAAGAGTTGACTAAATGCCCGCTGAATGAATAAATAATTAAGTACAATGATGGAGTATACAGAGGGCTTAGGATGAATTCTGTCAAGCTTTTTGCCCAAGAGCATTCAGCAGGTGCCTGCACTCCCTAAAAGCTCTCTCTTAGCCGGGTATCAAGATAATGGATTTGGCATCACTCTGTGGGAGTAGGTGTCAAAAACTGTGAAGGGTCTGAGATTTTTCCCTGCTTGCAAGCTAATAAGTGAGCCTGACACAGTTTCATGGATGCTGAAAGAAATGGCAGGCTCCCCAGCCAGAGACAAAGGACTCCATTACTCATGGTAAAGTTGTCAGCATGAGCTTCGTGTTTGTGCCAGTTCCTCTCAGTTGCATGGCGGTGACACAGAGGTGGGCCTGGGGTGGATGCTGCACACACTGTTGGTTTGCGACCCAGGTTAGGAGCTCTGAACATATGAAACACAATCTTTTAAAGGGGGCTGTTAGCAAACTTGCCCAGCCTTTGCCCCAGAGGGAGATACTATATTATTCTGGAAAGCAAACATCTGTCCTCTGCTTTGGAGGGAGGCACTATCTCTATATTTCAAGGTTGTTTGCTATATAGGTCCAGGGCTAGGGTGAGGCAAATGAGGTGCCCAAGGTGCAACATTTAAAGAGGCACTCACTTTCAGGTGCTGACTCTGCACTTGCACCACCCTGACAGTGAGTGTCTCTTTAAACTTGCAACCTTAGGTACCATGTTTGCATCACTCTAGTCCTGGCTCTGTGATATACAAACAACCTCGAAAAGATAATCTGGAATAAAAGCTGTCAATGCCTTTATTCAGAAGACAGAATGTGAGGGCAGAATGTGAGATACCCATGGGGAATTGTGTCCTAGCCATAAATAATTCCCTAGTTATAAACAAATGTTTAAATGTCTCGCACCTCTGCAGCTGTTCACAGGAACTCTGATGCTAATACTTTGGAAATGACTGAGAAAATCCTTAGTTTTCAAAGATATTTTAGGTTCCCAGCCATTTCACTCCTAGATATTTACCTAAGAGAAATGAAAGTATATGTACATACAAAGACTTGTACATGAATGTTCATAGCAACTTTATTTGCTGCTAGTAAAAACCCAAACACCTATGAACAGGTGAATGGATAAGAAAAATATGGCATGCCCATATGATATAATATTTCTCAGAAATATAAAGGAATGAGCTATTGCTACATTAAAAATGAATGGATATCAAAATGACTATGCTAATTGAAAGAAGCCAAAAATCGATATCTTTATTCATCCATCTATACTGTATGATTCCATTAATGTAAAAATATGGGAATGTAAACTATAGTGGCAGAAAGCAGATCAGTAGATTACAGAGAGACAGGAAACTTTTAGATGTGAAGGAAATGTTCATTGTCTTGATGATTTCATGAGTATATACACATCAGCATTTATGGAATTGGATACTGTAAATATTAGGCATGTTATTGCATGTCAACCATACTTGACTAAATCTATTTTAAAAGGAAGATTTTAGGTTCAGAAATGGACGGAGCATAGATGCTTGGCTCTTTTGCCCCTGGGTTCAGAGGAGAGGTATTTTACCTGCTACCCAATGGCTTCTTCCACATTATCTGAACTTTCCCAACTTGTATCTGGAGGGAAATTCTTCAGAATTGAAAGATTATTTATGTGAACACGAAAAGGCAGGAGCACATGGAACACATAAGGTGCTCTCAGTGATTCATAGCTGGTGTGAATCAGCACAGTTAGATTGCTCTTCTTCCAATATGCAACTGAAATCACTGTTTGAAAAAAAACAAAACAAACAGGCCCTGTGGGGGGAGGGGGATAGATCACTTTGGAGATGTGGAAAAATCAGGACAGAGAGGAAATGCAAGTTGGAACTTAGAATGGCAGAAAAACGCTGGTGTTCTAGAAAGTAGTAGTGAGGGAAATGTAAATGTATTAAGATAGCTCATCAAAATAAGTTGCTCCATGCCATATTATAGGTATCTGATAATTATTTAATTGGTGGATGAATGGGCAAATGGATGAATACTGCCGAGGGCTGGCTTAGGGCAAAGGAAAGAAGAAGGGATGCCTTTTTCTTTGCATGTTGAGATAAGTAGTTTGGATGGATTTTCTATGGAAAATATATTCTAACTCCCCAGACAACTGACTAACCAAAAATTACTTGGACACCAGGATATGTCTTATTCATAATAAACAAACACGTATTGTTCTATGATCTAAGACCTGTACCATTTAGAACCATTGGGATCCACCTTAAGAATGAAATAAGCCAGAGAAAGACAAATACCATATGATTCCACTCTTATGTGGAATCTAATGAACAAAATGAACTAAGAAGCAAAATAATAGACTCATAGGTAGAGGCAGGCTAACAGCTGTCTGGGATGGGAGGCTTGGGGTGGAGGGATTGAGAGAAAAAATAAGAGTGAAAAAACTCATGGACAGGACAATCGTGGGGTGATTGCCAGGGGAGGAGGGTGGAAGGAGGTGGAGGACAGTATAGGGGGGATAAATGGTTATGGAAGGAGACTTGAAGTGGGGTGGCAAATACATAGTACAGTGTAGAGATGATGTGTTGTGGAATTGTACACCTGGAACCTCTATAATTTTGTTGGCGAGTGTCACCCCAATAAATTCAATAAAAAGGAAAAAACCCAGAAATGCTCACTCTTCTTAAGTGTTGAGAAACAGTCACCTAAGCAATGTTGAGTATACAAAAGCTAACCTGGGTTCTTGATAAAAGATCAACTCTCAACTGGGTTTCAGAAAAGGGAAGAGTTCACTGTGGGTTATACTTTGTGGAGGAAGTTGGCTATGAGCTTGGTGTTGAAGGATGGTTTATAATTGGATTGGCAAATGGGAAGTGAGAGGGCATTCCGAGAACAAAGACGTGAGTAGAGCAGTCTGCCTTCAGTTGAGGGAGCATGTTTGCAGTGTGGGTAGGCAGATGGGGACCAAGTTACTAAGGACCAAGTTAGTAAGGATATGGAAAGATAGAAGAGTTTAGATTTTATCCAATAGACATTTGGAAGCCTGTATAGGATGTATTCATTTGTAAGTAACAAAAAAGTGACTTTCACAAATAAAGGTTAGGAAACCAGTCCTGAGCATATTAACTTTCTGTTCTCATATTTGCCACCTTATAGTCATAAATAGAGGCCTGGTGCATGAATTCGTGCATGGGTGAGGTCCAGCCGCCTACCCCAATGGGGGCCGATCAAGGCCAGGCTGGTGGGGGTGGGGGAGGGAATGTGGGAGGTTGCCCAGTCGGCCCCGCCCCTGATTGGGGTGGGAGGTGGGCGATGGGGAGCAGGACCAGCTGGGGGGAGGGGCCGCAGACAGTTGGCTGGCTGACTCTGCCCCGATCGGGGTGGGGAGGGTGACCGGAGGTGGGGCCTCCTGGGGGGAGGGGCTGAGGGAGGTTGAGGAGGGGCCGGTCAGGCCCTAATCAGGCCAGTTGGCTGCTGCAGTGTGCTTCATAGCAACCGGTCGTTTCGTCGTTCCAGTTGCTTGGCTTTTATATATATATATAGATATGGCTGCTATAGCTCTAGGCATCACTTCTACATTCATGTTGGGAAGCAGGGGGAAATGGTGATGCCAGCCAGCTCTCTTCTCATACCTGTCTTTTTCTAAAGGGATTAAAAGCTTTTCCAAAAGCCTTTGTCAGACTTTTGGTTTTGTTTCATGGAACAGTACTGGGCTACAAGCCTACCTCTAGGGCAAAGGAATCTGGGAAAGACTGTATTGGGCTTTCCAGCCTCTCTAATGGACATGTCAAGGCAGAAGGGTATCAGTAATGGCTGTTGAGTTCATTAATAAACATGTGTTACAGAGCCATGGTGATTCTTGAGTAGGAAAATGGCATGTTGAAAGTATATATCCTACCCAAGATTGTCCTCAGAGAATTCATAACTTGAGAATAGGAGAGTTGGGATGATTTAGATGATTTTCCATAAAACATCTACCCACTTCTCCCTGCGTCTATGGGCATCTACTCCTTCACCTCACTAATGCCGGATTTGGCCACATGATTATCTTTGAACAATGGAATGTGGGGGGAAATGACAGTGCACTAATTCTGAGACTAAGCCTTAGAAACATCTCATGTTTCTGCTTATCTTTATTCTGCTTATTTTTATCATGCTTCTTCCACTGTCCTGAAATCAGTATGCCTCCCTAGTAGCCCACTGGTTCCAGTACAATAAAGATATGTGGAACAGGGTCATCCTGGTCAACCCGCAGACCTGTAGCTTGAAGAAGAGCTACCATAAGCTGACCTATAGACCTATGAGAATAAAGATAAAGGGACATATTCTGTTCTACTGAGATTTTGTGGTCTCTTGTTATACAGAAGTAGTGTAATAATCCTTATGTTAACTTGGTCTCCCTTTGACATTATTGTTATTCAAAATTCAAAATAATATCGACATAAGGCATTTGTACTCAGCTCACACATCAGTGACAACTGATAGTTTTCCCTGGTAGGAAGGTAGACTAAGTATTTCTTCATTTTACAGACTAGAAAGTAGAATATGAGAGGTAAATTATTTCCTAAAGCTCAATTGACTAGTATTTGGAATACCCCTGTATTTTTTTTTCCTCAAAGCCCATTATTTTAAAAATTACCTTTTACTTTGGTGCCATGGCTACAAAGGTGTATGTTTTGGTTCATAATAGTGTTTATGGGTCCTTGATTGGGATCACTGTGCCTGGAACATTATAGACATTTAATTTGTTGAATGAATAAATTTGTGATACATGGGTGAATGAATGAATAAGCACTTAAGAATATATTTGTAGTTAGAGGGTGAAAGCTTTCACAATCTTTTCAAGTATAAAATGAGG